GATATATGGCACTCACATCTCTAATGGCTAGATGATTGGCAGCCATTGCACAGCACTGTTGCTGTCCAGCAATTGTGCATGAATAACCAGTCACACTTCACAGGCAGCAGTGATCATTTGTTGGAGTAGTGAAAAGAAGCACTAACACACAGGATCTGCATCAGTCTGAGGCAACTGTTGTTGAATGGCTTTATCAAGCTGTGGATCATGTACACTAGGGGCAGGATCACATCACCTTGGGAAGAGCAATAACACAGTAGTCTACCCTTTTTAAGCCCATGTTTTTAAGTTAACAGCTATGCTGGGAGCAGGGGCGGACTGCCAACTCATGGGGCCCCCGGGCAATAGGGGATCATGGGGCCCCTGTGTCCCTGCCCACACTCAAACCACACCCAAAAAAGCCTATGAAAGTTAGCAGGAGCATCTCATGGGGCCCCCTACTGACCCCTGGCCCTCAAGCAGTGCCCGAGTGCCCGAATGGTCAGTCCGCCCCTGGCTGGGAGCCATCATGAAAATTGTATGGCTCTACTTTTGTTTCAGTTCAGAACACACACAAGCCCTTTTTATAGCAACATATTCCAAAAAGTGCAAACAAACAAAAATCATATAGTTTTTTTTATATTATGGTATATAAAAAGTCACATCAGCTTTCTTACATTTTAAAGGGAAATAAATATTGTTAATGCTTTTAGTTGACTTGAGAATCTCTGAAAGTAATTTATAAAGAGCAGGAGTTTCACCTCTCTGAAAATTCTTATTAAAGCAGGCAGCAGGTTTGTTTTACAAAGCTGGAAAATATTACTCAGCCAACCTTATGTGGATTTGTTGTTTGTAACATAGATATGTGTTTTCAGAGTTTTACACCCTGAATTCCCTATATTGTCAAACAATTCTCACTTATGTAGTATTTGTCTCACAATACCATTGAAGTGTCACTAAGGTTGCAAAAAGAATGTTGTAAAATTGTTATAATTTTTGTTTTCATTTTTATAGGAGAAACACGTGCACAACACAGTTAGGGAGCTACATTGTGCCCTGTTATCTCTATAGACTACAAAACATCACTATTTTAGCAAAGATGGGGAGGTTTTTCACTATATATATATATATATATATAGAGAGAGAGAGAGAGAGAGAGAGAGAGAGAGAGTGGGTGGAGGAGAAATAAAGAAAAAAAATTAACATTTTTGCTCTTGGGTTTAGAAAAATAAAAAAGACGGATAAACAAATATATGGTGAAAGAGTCTGACTGATCGTATGCTACTGATCTAGGAAGTATTTAGGTATCATCCAGCTCATGTGTAAAGAATAACTCCACTTTTTTTGGCAAACAAACATTCGCCTCTGGGTGATCTACTGTATGTACATTGCAAGGATTTTAATAAACTTTGTTGCAGATTCCTACCTTTTGTTATTCTGAAGTTATAGCTGTTTGTTTACTGTATCTGTGTCCATGTGTAGAGTGAATCTGTATGGGAGTGGTTCTATAATTATCAGTCAGCTGCTGCACCTGCAGGACTCTGATAAAAATTGCAGAGTCTGCGGCCCTTTAGATGGGATTTCCCTTTGGGAGTATCTCAACAAAAATTTTGTTGCAGGGAATGTCAAAAATGTGACTCATATCTTAGTGCAGACTTCTGGAAAAATCAGTGAGCCAATCACACAAGTAGGAAATTATATTTCATGGGGCATTATGTACACCATCTGTGTACGGAACACCTCCAGGAAGCATTATTGCATGGCATTTTACAGAAAATTGTTGAGTTACAGATTGAAAGGAAAAGGTAATTTTTAATAAAATTAAAATACAATATAATTTGAGTTGCAAATGTATAATATATATATATTATTATTTTTTTTTTTTTTTTCACTTTATTTTTTTTTTGGGGGGGGTCTATTATTTTTTCACAGAAGTGGAGTTACCCTTTAAAGATTATTTTTTTTATTATTATTATACAGTATTTATATAGCCCCCACAGTTTACTCAGAGCTTTACAATATAAGGGGGACATTACAATTACAATACCGTTCCATACAGAAGGAATTGGATGACCCTGCTCATGGAGCTTACAATCTAAAGGAAGAGGGAGGTGGTACAAGAGGTAATAGCTGCAGGGGATGTTCTGATGGAGGTGACTCAAGTACAGTTCTTAGACGGAGGTGGGGTAGGCTTCCCAGAATAAATGAGTTTTCAATGATTGCCTGTAGGTGGACAGGATAGAAGCTGACTGGACATACTGGGGCAGGGAGTTTCAGAGGATGGGAGCGGTTCTGGAGAAGTCCTGGAGGCGAGTGTGAGAGGGTCAGGATTAGTATCAGGATGTAAAAAATACATCACAAAATATTTGAATTATCTGCACAATGCAGTCTGAGGGTCTTTGTTAGTTTGTTGCTAGTTTCACTCCTTTGACAACTTCAGATTTACACATATTTATAAAAGCTTTTTCACCCCTATGGTTTGTTATTTTGTACTTTTAGATTTCACCCTTTCCCATATTCTTTTCAATTTGATGACATTTATCAAAATTGAAAAATTGGAATATGCAGGAAAGAAAATCAGAATATAAGAGAATAGGATTGATATAAATAAATGCTGTTGATATGTCAATCTTTTACATTTCCTCTGTAATCAGTGCAAACAATACTTGATAATCAAAACAGTGCATTTTTTTATATTCTAGTGATAACAAACACGCACGAGCATTGGAAGTTTTTGTTATTACTGCTGTGATTTTCCTAGCATATTGGAATTCAATGGGACTCTGGAGTAATTATTCCTTGTGGACACCCATGGTAGTCTAGGAATATTAAAACCTTGTCTTGCTGGGATGTCTAATGAGAGTAATAGCAGAGCTCACATGAGTACATTAGTTAACATCTGAATTTTTTTTCCTAAAAGTTTTTGTGAGCAACATAAGAAACATTTGAATTCTTCTCTTTTTGATGTCTTTATATATTACATTTGTTTTATGTTCCAGGTACCTTTGTGTTCTGTAGTAGGGTTTATATATTTCAGCATTTTAGTGTCTACATGGCTGACTTCTCAACAATAAAAAGTTTAGCTGCCTACAAACCATTAAAGTAAAAGCTGTGGACCATTTGTTGTTTTTCAGCTGCATCTACAGTCAGTCACATTGAATTGTTTGCAGCAATGTCTCACCACCAATCTTTCATTGACTTATTTTGAGAATCTTGAAGCCCTCGGGGAAAAGGAAATAACAAAAGCCTTTTTACTAAGGATCCAGTTTAAGTATTTGTGCAAGCTTTTATGTTTTCTATTAGTCATCGAATGGTGAGCTTTTTGAGTCTTTTATGTTTTCTCTTAAGCAGAATTCATTACACACATGTGCTTGCTCACAAACTTAGTAACATAGTCCAGTTTACAGTATTTGTAGTGCAAAATACACAAAATACTCCTCTGAATTTGCTTGCAGATATACTTGTATGAAGAGTAAATGTCCCAGACGTTTAGCCATGTCTCTCAACCAGGGGAGAGGGTAAATTTTGGCCTTTTTTTATGGTTCTCAAATTAATTGTCCTGCATTACAAAAACAGATATATAAAGAATTGGTTTTTTTTTTTCTAAACACATGGGTAAAATTTTTATGAGTGTTCATTTATGTTCAGTTAAATTGGCTAATAACCTAAAATAAAAAGCTGCACATAGCATTACAACTTGTGTAGATAGGTGTAATCAGTTTGTACACAATAGGGAATAGTTTTATACCTTTTAGGCAAAGGTAATACATATTCTTGGTTTTCATATCTTCTCATGATGTCCTGCTTTTAACCTAGCATGACATGTTTTGACATTTCAAATATGTAATACAATTATTTTCAGAACTGACAAATAGGAGGGTACACTGTATGCATAAAGACCCACTTCACATTGGTGGGTACCAGCAATAAGCACGTAAAACACACAACCTTATTCATTTTTAATGGCACCATAATGCACTCTGACATTAACACACAATGCACATGTTGTGCATTGCGCTGAAAAAAAAAGCAGCTCAGGAGAAGTGTGTGTGTGTGTTTTTTTTCATTACAAACAAGTGATACCCTTTTATACTCAAAATAGTAATGTGAAGGGTTAATACAGATGTGTGCGCTACAGGATCATATAAAGTGTGAATTCTTTAAAGGATTGAAGGGGACAACAAAAAGCATATATGAAAAATGAGCAATGTTCCTAATTCAGACATAGGCAATTCCTGAAAACTCACCTCTTCAGGAAGGCCTATCCTACCTCCACCTAATAAACTGTACTTTTACTTTCTACATCAGTTCATCCCTCACCCTTACCTTTTGTATCACATGATCCTCCCTTTTAGATTGTAAGCTCTGACAAGCAGGGCCCTCTGAACCCTCTTGTACTGAAATTATATTGTAACTGTACTGTCTCTCTTTTTTTGTGAAGCACTGCTCAAACTGTCGACGCTATATACATTCTATATAATAATGTGTAATATTATAATAGCCTCTTTCCTTACAATGTACATGTTACTCTAACAATTTAGTAATGCAAGTTGTATTATTTTTCTTTATTCATGATGTCATTGATTTTATTCTCATTGTGCAGTATAGGCAGAAATCAGTTTATTTTCTGTGTGCGATTAATTCTTATTTGGCAAAATATTAGTGCCTTTTAAAAAAAAGCTGTAAATATTACTTTTGCATTTTTCATCCTGTTTATGCCAATCATTTCTTTTTAAACAGTCAAAAAGAGAAAAAAAACAAAGTCATTTTGTATAATAATAGTAACAGTAAAATGTAATGTTTTACTGCAGGATACAGCAAGAGCTATTTCCTGCTGTCAGTTCTTCGGTTCTATCTTGATTGTGCATACACATAAACCATTTCCTGTACATTTCAGGGGCCACTAAAACCATAAAAAGGAAGAAAACCAACCCAATCTATAAAAATGTATTTAACTGGTTGACTCAATGTGTTCATAAACTGCCAAATATACAAACTCACAAGTGTTTTTTCAATTTGCAGGTGTTTTGGTTGTTAATGTCACATGGCGGAATAAGACATACGTTGGTACTTTACTAGATTGCACGAAGCATGACTGGGCACCTCCAAGGTAAGATACTGTCTTAAAGCCAAACTGAGTGAACTTTGCCTAACTGTAGCCTGTGGATGAGACAGATACAGCTTTGAACTACCCCTCTCTACATTTTATATACAGGTTAAGAGAATATGACTCTTACTATACTCTCCCTTCACCTTAAAGTGGTTCTAAAGCCTCAAGGTTTTTTACCTGAATGTATTGTATGCATTCAGGTAAAAAACCTTCTGTGTCACATACTCCCCCCTCACCCCCTTTTATACTTACCTGAGCCCCATTTCGATTCAGTGCTGTGCACAAGAGCTGCGGCTCTCCTGACTTTGTCCCTTCTTCCTAGGCAGATAGATAGCAGTGGGAGCCATTGGCTCCATTTCCTGTCAATCAACTCTAGTGATGAGGAAGCAGGGGGCTGGGCCGAGTCCCGCTGTCTGTGTTAATGGATGCAGCAGCGGGACTTGTGAGCGAGCCTACATGAGTTCCCCCCAGGGAAATCAGCTTCTTTTTGGGGGCACTGAACAGAGAAGAGGAGCCAGGAGCACCGATGAGGGACCTGAGAAGAGGAAGATCACGGCCGCTCTGTTCAAAACCATTAAATAGAGCAGGTAAGTATAGACATGTTTGTTATTTTAAAAAAAATCATTTACAACCACTATAAATGTTTAGGCAATATCCTTGTCCCTTTTATATCATAAGTATGCTTTTGCTATTCTACCACACTAGTGTAATGTGAAAATTACAACGCTAATGGGACAGAGCAGATATTAATTCATGGAAAATGTCTTTTTACATTTAATAAAATAAATGTTATTTGACATAATGATTAAAGGAAACTGACTAAGTCTTTATATAAAGACAGGTCAGACTAAAACTTGACAACCTGTTCTGCAACAGATGGTGACCATACATATATATGGCCAAATTTACACAGATGTTCAATTCCTTTACAAAACATCTGGATTTTGCTTCTGGGCTGACCATGAAATATGGTTATTGTGCCATTGGATCTTGCTTTAAACAACTGGCTAGTAACTGGGATGAAAGTATTAGGCAGGGCAAAGTAACAGGTTCAGTTTAATGGTAATCCCTATACACCAGCTATGGTCCATGTCATGACTTGGAATTTGCAGTCTGATGGCTCTTTTCAAGTCACCATGTGCCAGCACAGGGTAAATGCCATTCACTAAACACAAGCATGATTACATGGACAGCAGTGGAATAAGTCAGATGCTCCCTGATACCAAGGGTAATAATCAAAGAAGCAGGTAAAGTAGAAAAAGTTATAAATGGTTAAGGAATGGCATTAAAGTGAATGTTGATTTTTTTTTTAATACCTTATACTGGAGAACAACATGTTCACTTTAACTGTTAGATGTCCATATACATGCTGCAACAGGCACAAATGCATCTTTGGGATTATACATTATTTTAACTTTTCTTTTTTATGTACAGGTTTTGTGATTCACCTACAAGTGACCTTGAAATCCGTGGGGGTCGTGGAAGAGGAAAAAGGGCAAGGTCAGCAGCATTAGGTACAGCAGCAGCAGCAGCAGCAGCAGCAGTGGCTCCTGGTGGTGATGTAAATTTTACAGAATTAAGAGGACTCCACAATAAGAATAGAGGAGGAGCTAATGGAAAAGGGAGACGTGGAAGCATTAATACATGTGGTCGCCGTACCCCTCCAAATTGTTCAATAGAGGATGTTAAAGCAAGCCCTTCTCCTGCTGGCAAAAGAAAAAATAAGCCTCCTTTGGAACTAGATCTCAATTCAAGTTCAGAAGACAATAAATCAGGAAAAAGGGTTAGAACAAATTCTCGTAGCATGCCAACCACTCCACAAGGCAAAAATGACTCTTCTTTTTTGGATCAAGGATGCTCATCTCCAGTTTTAATAGACTGTCCACATCCAAATTGCAACAAAAAGTACAAGCACATAAATGGGCTGAGATATCACCAGGCACATGCACATTTGGACGCTGAAAACAAACTGGAGTTTGAGCAGGATAGTGAGGACAAAGTTTCAGATTGTGAGGAAGCACTGAGCAATGTGGCACTTGAATGCAATGAGTCAAGCACAAGTTTGGATCCAATAAAAACACCCATGTCACCCGGTTCACAAAGTGCACCTGGCACACCAAAGGGCAAACGAGATTTAGCAAACAACTGTCCAAATCAAATTAATTCTAAAATAGGCAAGAATTCTGGAAAAAAGAAAGTTCTTAATGTGGAACTTAATAACCTTCCCATAATATCAAACATGACAGTTTCACTGGACAATTGTGCAGTCTTAGATGGCAACCTTACAGTAGAAATGCCAAAACTGGAAGCAGAAGGACTAATTGACAAGAAAAATGAAAAAGGTAAAAAATCCAACAACTATAAGGTTGATAAAAACCTTTCAAAGCTGAAAACGGCTCGGCCAATTGCTCCGGCTCCAGCTCCCACACCTCCTCAATTAATAGCTATACCTAGTCCAGCCTTTACAAACACTACTACAGGAACAATAACAGGATTACCCTCTTTAACAACTCCTGTTGGCCAGGCAACACCAAAGAGCCCCCCATTAAAACCTATTCAACCAAAGCCTACAATTATGGGTGAGCCAAGCACTGTAAATCCTTCTCTCACATCACTCAAGGACAAAAAGAAAAAAGAAAAAAGAAAACTAAAGGAGAAGGAAAGTAAAGATGCTGTAAGCCCTAAGGCAGACTCTAAAATGTGTAAAGTAGAGGATTTAAAAGGATCTGGAAAGGATTTATCTGGTAATTTTTTAAAAGATCATCTTAACAAGAATGAATCTCTTACTAATGGACTGTCAGAAACACAAGAAAGCCGAATGGCTAGTATCAAAGCTGAAGCCGATAAGGTCTATACATTTACAGACAATGCGCCCAGCCCATCTATAGGAAGTGCCTCTAGGGTTGAATGCAGCACTGTGATAAATGGACAATCCCCCATGGCTCCTTTGCATGTCATGACACAAAATGGTGGTGATAGTTCTGCTGCTAAGACAAATAGTCCAGCATACTCCGATATTTCAGATGCTGCTGATGATGGTGGTTCTGATAGCAGATCAGAGGGCATGAGGTCAAAGACTAGCTCTCCCTCAGATATTATATGTAATAAAGACAATGTTGTTAAGGGTCATTCTACACCTATTTCTCAATCATCTCAGATGAAAGAATCTCATTCTCCATATTATCATGGTTATGACCCTTATTATTCCCCAACCTATGTGCATTCTGGACAGGTCAACACTGCTGTAACTGGAAATATTAATTCCTCTCAGGGTGGTAAAAGCAAAAAGGAAGCAGATGAAGATGTTGAAAAGAAAGAGAAATCAGACAATATGGAGACTAAAAAGAATGACATAATTTCTAATAATGTGCCACCTCAGCACCAATCTGTTATCACACAAAGGCACCCTGCACTAGCCCAGTCACTTTACTATGGACAGTATGCCTATGGACTATATATGGACCAAAAGTCTTTAATTGCATCAAACCCTGCATACAGGCAACAGTATGAAAAATATTATGAAGACCAGAGAATGGCAGAGCAAAAAATTGTGCAAACTGGAAGGGAGTGTGATAGAAAAACTGACAGTTCATCTAAGGAGCCAGGCAAGGATGATAGCAAATTGAAAAATATGCCATCTGCTACCATTTCAAAAGCACCTTCTACTCCTGAACCAAGTAAAGTGAACTCTAAAATAGGTGTTGTCAGTAAAACAGAGGACCCTGTGAAACCCCAAATGTTGCCTAATCATCAGCAACTTCCATGTGATAGCTTCAAGGCAAAGCAAATGGAAAACCACCAACTTATAAAAGAGGCAGTTGAAATGAAATCTGTAATGGATTCAATGAAGCAAACAGGAGTAGACCCCACTGCACGATTTAAACAGGTAAGACCTACAATTAATCAGTGAGTAATTTGCCTGGTTTATTAAGCTTTGCATTATGAAGTATTGGTCTATAGGTTCTTCAGTCTTGAATTACATCTACAGCCTAGCTTTTAACACTTGGATTGCTCAAATTTTGTTTCATTTGTATGATTCTATATTACAGTTTTACATTTTAAGATTCCATATAAGTTTATTTTAATTCTATTTTGCAAAGCTTACATTTATTCTAAAATTGTGCAAAGGCATAAAGTGTATCTGACACAAGAGGAAAATATTGCTTATCATAATAGACTTAAGCATTTACAGGTCTGATGTCTTCCTAAGAACAAGAAATAGGATAGTTTCCTGTCCTCAAGTGAAGTTCTACGATACTAGGATCTGCTGTGACTCTAAACCAATGGTACTGAACGAATAAAGACAAAATAATATATACTTATGGAGCACTTCAGATTTCAGAAGCTGGCCCTGTGGCCTTGCTTTCTATCACTGGGTAATTAATGGCTACCCATAAAGAGGAAAATCAACATAAAGTGAGCTTAATTTGCAAAGGTTTAAAATGACTCATTAAAAAATAGCATCTGTTAAAAAAAAATATTTTTACTGTACCTTTCCAGTGGGCAGTGAGTCAAAACTTCACTGTCTTGAAGGGTTATTGGTGCTGCTGGTATCTATCACTATTATGTTCTGTAGGAAAGTAGTGATTGGTAATCCTTGGTGGACCAGGTATCTGACAAGTGTTGGATACCAGCAGTGATCATAGCTCTTAAAGAGGGCAAAGTTTTAATTTGCTGCCCTCTGGAAAGGAAAGTAATAATTGCTGTTTTACGGAGTGCATTTATTTTAAACATGGACACTTTAAGTAAATTGAGAGTGGGGATTTTATAAATTACAATCAACCAGTAAAAGGTTTTTTGTTATATATAAGTAACCATTTCATTTCAATGAAAAATTACATGAAGATTTTAAATAGCTATAGAGCTCACATACTTGTACATTTAGTCTTCTGACAATTAATATGTGGTTTAACTGAATGAAATGTTCCTCTATTAAGGATGCTGACTCAAGATGGCACCACTATATTTACCAGTCTAAGTACCTAGAACAGCAAAAATCTGAAGAAATAGAGAGAGACAAGAAGATAAAGGAAGAACATTTGCAGAAAACTCCTTCTAAAGAGAGTGTGTTACCAGTGACATTACCAGTCACAAAAGAAGAGATCAAAGAGGTCAAGCGCCCAGAATCTCTGTTAGGAGAAGAAAGCAAGAGTAAGAATGAGGACAGGAAGACTCCTGTAAACTGGAAAGATTCAAGAAATGCAAGAGTTGCTGTTTCCTCACCTATGAGCCAACATCAATCATATATTCAGTATTTGCATGCCTACCCATATACACAGATGTATGATCCCAATCATCCAGCATATCGAGCAGTGTCTCCAGTTTTGATGCATAGTTATCCAGGTAAATAAGATACATTTAAATAATACAATTTTTTTTACATTTTCAGGCATCCGTGGGAAAAAGGGGAATTTGTTATCCTAGGGTTTTTTTTAAAAAAGGCACACCTTTTAAATTCTTCAAAAGTGAGCAGTTACTTTATTGTATGTGTGTATTTTATTAGTCAGTTGAATGTTGTTATTATTATTATTATTATTATTAAACAGTATTTATATTTATTTATTTATAGTGTTGTTTTGGTCTGATACTGTTTCTCAGTATCAGATATCAGCAGCAGTGCTCACGTTAGAGCATTGCATACAGTTGAACTTAGCCCTGAATTGAAAAACTTTTGAGCAGGAAGCATTTTTATTGCAGAAGAGACATAGAGGTTGATTTACTATAGGCAAATAGGCTGTTCACTTTGCAAGGGATGTTGCATTTTACAAGCGAATTTACCCTAGACCTTTAAAAATGCCCAATTATATGCAAGCAAAATTAAATATTATATTTGCTTGCACGTGATTGGATGGTCAACAACGCTTCCCTGCATTACCTAAACTCTGGGGTATATTCCCTTGCAAAGTGCAGCTTCTCTTTCAAGTGAACAGCCTATTTACCTTTTGTAAATCAATCCTTTACTTGTCTACCACAAAAGGACTTCTTACCTTCTTTCTTGCTAAATGCTTTGGAATGTGCACTTAGATTTGCATGTGCAGCCCAATGTACATTCATGGCATGCCTTAATAGCAGTACAAATAAAGTCTTGTGCACTTACTTGGGAGTAAGGCAGGCCAAAGATAATGCAATGTTCTATCATGCACCCCCCCCTCCGGTGTAGCTATTGTGTTCTCCCAGCAGGAAGGTCGGGGACTGTCCCTGCAGGGAGAACACAGTGATTATTGCTAGCAGCTTTAGCTGCTGTCAATGCTGTCATGCTAGAAATCCAACATGCTGGTTGTACCCAAATCACTGGATCGACTTGGATACAATCAACCTGCCCATGCATGGATCAAATCTCATAGTCTCTGCTGAACTGGCCAAGATTCAAACTGTCTATGACCAGTTTAAAATTAATCTTAATCCAGCCAATGGAGATTATCAAAAACCCCAAACCTGGAACAAGCCAGGGAGAAGATGCCAGTGAGGGAGCTTGGGGATGTTCCATCCCTGGAGAGGAGGTGAATATAACAAAGTTTAGTTCCAATTTAAATATACTAGAGATTTTGTTGCATAATTTCACTGACATCTAGGGGTTTACTTACTAAAGCTGGAGAGTCCCAAATCAGACTCCCTTCTGCATAGAAACCAATCAGCTTCCAGGTTTCATTGCCAAAGCTTCATTGAACAAGCTGAGGTTAGAAGCTGATTGGTTTCTATGCAGAAGGGAGTCTGATTTTGGACTCTCCAGCTTTAGTAAATAAACCCCCTAACATCTTTGGTCTGGTTTACTCTTGGGATACCAGATAGACTAATGTCTCGTTGTATATGAAAACAAAATGGCAAGATATCTTCCCCATCTTGGACCTGTTGTGATGCATTTTGAATCCTTGCTGATGAACAAAGAAAGCAAATACCTGATTTACATCTTCTTTCTCTTTTCCTAATTGAAAAGGAAAGGATTAATGCAAGTTAAGCAGAGACATGTCAGCAAGTTGAAAAATCGTTGTGTGTGAGAACAGGTGTTTAATATTGGTTGTTATGACTTGTTATTGTTTTCTTAAGAAGCTCTGCAAAGCAAAATTCTTGCCTAGTCCAACCAGACAATGCTGAAATTGGGCAATGTAAGGGGCCCCCTTAAGCTGTGCTATAAACAACGCATCCTCTGTTTTTGCTTTAAGAACGCTTTGATGACCACTTCAGAGTATTGCTTAGGGTTTACACACAGCACAGTCTGTTAAAATCGCTGGCTTTTAACATTCTTTCCTATAGAATCTATAAAGTCAAAGAAATATACCATGTTTCCCAAATCACTACAGAGTCTAAAAATGCTTAAAGCATTCTAGTGCTTGACAATTAAGCCAACATTCTATACATAATTATGCAGCTGTATGGACTCCTTCAAGGTGTTAGAACAAACATTGTACTTTCTGGTAAAAATCAATATTATAATATTTACTCCAAAGACATGCTGGTAGGTTAATTGGATCCTGTCTAAATTGTCCTTAGTATGTGTATGAATGTAAGATATAGACTTTAGATTGTACACCCCTTGAGGGTTAGAGACTGATGTGAATGTACAATATATATTAAAAGCGCTGCGTAAATTGACGGCGCTATATAAGTATCTATAATAAATATTTAAAAGCAAATTAAATCTCAACCATAGTAAAAACATTTGTTTCTATTTGTCATAGGGGCTTATCTTTCTCCAGGCTTTCCTCACTACTCAGTTTATGGAAAAGTGTCAGGAAGAGAGGAATCTGAGAAAGCCAGCACCAGTCCTAGTATGAGCTCAAAACCATCATCTGATTCAAAAGCATTAGACTTGCTGCAGCAGCATGCCAATCAGTACCGCACCAAGTCTCCTGCTGTAAGTGTTCTGTGTTTTTTGTAACTCCACCACCATTTCTATTTGTTTAAATGTTTTCTTTAAAACAATTTTAATTTGAATCTTTGCTCTGTGCTCATTATTATTACAAAGGCTACTTTGCCACTTCATTTAACTGCCAGAAATGAGAAGTTATCCTTGTGACAGAGATAGCTGCTAAAGGGCCATTTGCCAAGCTCCAGTGATTTCACAAGGGCGGTAATAGAATCTGTTACATGCTCTCAGATACCTGCCATTCCCAGTTTTGTTTTCATTCTGGATTAAATATATTGTAAGTGTAAAAGAGCAAAGTTATATAAAAGCTGCTTATGTGGCCAATATTAAAGTGAATCTATAGCTTGGAAAAAAAACAGGTTCACTTTAAAATTATTAACCTCTATTACATAAACCTGTAATAAACACTTGAATTTTGTTCACATCATTTAATTTTTATATCACATTTTTGGAATTTTTTAAAATAAATGTTCAATATACTGTATGTTGTTGAAAAAGAGTTTAAACATTCAGTTTTTTGTAAATACTATATGGCACAACTTATTTTTTTACAGTGGTATAATTATGATAAATTCATGATACTCTGTCTGTCTACCACAACATACTTTTTAAAACCACACACCATTTTGGATTTCTGATCAGGAATAGCAGTGAACACACTGTCTGAATATAGATAACTACTGTGCATAATTATTTTTATAGTCTTGTGTTAGCATCTGTGTTGTGTTTAGTTAGTATTCTAAATCTTTAGACTCTATGCAGGAAGTATATTGGAAATGTACACTATATAATCCATTGTGTCTGCTACACAGCTGGCAGAAAAAGCTTCAACTGAGCGTGAACGAGAAACAGAAAGGGAGAGAGAGCGACATTCACCTTTTAGTCAACGGCATCTTCACACGCATCATCACACACATGTTGGGATGGGATATCCTCTCATACCTGGACAGTATGACCCATTTCAAGGTTAGTACCTGTTTTCTCTTAAATCTTTTGATCCTTTACCATCATTAATTCTATTTTATGGCTTGTTAACTTTATGATGCTTCTGATCTTGGTATTATTTCCAGTTTAGCACGTTGTTTGATAAGTACAGTATCTAGTACTATTGTGATCTTTGTTGCATTCCAAAGATTTTTAGGCACAAAAGAAAAGCAGAGTATATACAGAGTCTAATAATTTGTATGCATGTCAGCAGCAGTGCACAAGCCAAGTAAATTGCACATTTAATGACTTTGGGACATCCAGCAGCATCTGTATCACATTATCAAGAGCGTGTGGTATTTATTGTTTTAGGATGCAATTTAGCTATGCCTTCCTTTGTTCACAAAGAATCCCACCAATGTTGTACACATACTACCCATGAAAGCAAATTAGCAAATATGCACTGTAGACTTTGAACAGTGCAGAATGAGCTTTCATGTTCTTTAATGAACATTGTGGCATAGTAGACAAATTAGCAAGGTCACAAACTAGTATAAAATATTGTTAATTTACACTTTTTTGTATCTAGATGACTTTGTTCAGTGCAATTGGGTGTAACGTCTTTTCCTACCTTACCATTTTCATTAAACTAAAACAGATTAGATTACATGCATTTTCTGTTATTTTTGTATATTCAAAATAAACCAGTTTAACTTCAGAGAAATATGGTCTGATCTGTAGGCATACAGTTTCATTATTCATTTCAAGTTGTGAAAGATAAAATATTTGTATAAATATACTGAATAAGTCCACTCCAGGGGTTAAGAAAAAAACATAATAATGTTATGGAAGTAGTATGAGAGTGAAGATTGTATAATAGAAAGTGTAGTGATTGTGTTAATTCTTTTCTCAGTCCACCAGCCAAACTGAACTTTATTGTCTTATATTTGTAATGGTGCGACTGTCTTATTTGTGAAAAGTTAGGGGAAGAGAGTTTGTGATGCATGTGCACTGCATTCAAGTGAATGTACTCACACGGGGCTTTTCCTCTAGGGTTGACCTCTGCTACCCTTGTTGCCACTCAGCAGGTGGCTGCTCAGGCATCTGCATCCGGTATGTTTCCTACACAAAGAAGGTAAATAGAGTATCTTAGTTAATGGCATTGTATCTATTAATATCTATACATGCATTTGGAGATTTGAGTGGAACTTTTCAGTATTGCAAAGTTTAATCACCATGGAGCCCAAATATTTTATAGTGCAACCAAAAAACATGCCATGGCATGTTTCCAGTATGTATATACATGTATTATAACCATAAAAGTAACAAAAATAAAATTGCATAAGCCATTTAAGTTGAGATACTTTTGTTTAAAATGTTAAACTGAAGAGTGATAAGAATTAGAGAATACATGCTATAGGTTTACAAAATAATGTTCACTTGAATACAGCTTTATAAACCAGTGAAACCCTCCATTCAATCCTATGAAGTGTTTGTACTATGCTGGAGCACAGTTTCCATAGGATTAATTGGAAGGTTACTGTGAATCCATAGGCATGGCTCAGGAGATTTTGACAGAATATCCCACTGCATAGAGGACAGGTGAGTATAGCAATTGCATGGGGCTGGGTGTGGGGGGTAATGTAAAATATTAGTGTAATGGCACCAGCAAAGTCGCCAGTACACTTCAAGTATTTCTTATGTTGTTACTCCAAAACTTAAGCATCATCCCACCACCCACAGCAAGGTCACATCAAAGTATTTAAGAATTCTGTATTAACTTGTAACCTTAGGCTTACCAGTAGTTTCAATATTATTATTACTATTATTATTAAGAAGCAGAGCTGTAAGTAGAGCCTTTTGCCAGCTAATCAGGAAAAACAGTGGCAATTGGGGTAGCTATATTCAGGGGCGGACTGACCATTCGGGTACTCGGGCTCTGCCCAAGGGCCCAGGGTCAGTAGGGGGCCCCATGAGATGCCCCTGGTACCTTTCATAGGCTTTTTTGGGTGTGGTTTGAGTGTGGGTGAGGACACAGGGGCCCCATGATCTCTTATTGCCCGGGGACCCCATGAGTTGTCATTCCGCCCCTGGCTATATTAACCACTTGACTAGACTGTACAGTATATAAATGTTCACTAACAGATCATTTTTAAGTTTTCAATGTTGTGATAGTTTCACTGACATTTACAGTACTTAGTCATGCAGTAGTGTACCCAAATTAACTGCACAACATTTTTGAGACAGTTAATGCTTTCTTTTGGTGGTATTCTCTAACCACCTTGTTATTGTTTTATCATATAAAGGAAATAAAGACCAAGGAATAAAAACCAAACAAAAATAAATTTTTCTTACAATTTGTTAAAAAAAAAAACAAAAATAAAATTCTAGAACACTAGTGTGAACACCCCCAAAAAGGACCTCAAGATCTCGTGTTTTGTCATTTTTTGGAAAACTAAGAAACCTGATGTTATTAAGGTGGATAAAGGGTGATTAGCTTTTAAATGTCATCAACTGAGGCCAAGTAGTAGCAACAAAATTCCCCTCCTCCTCTGAGTCATTTGTGGTCCATGGAATTATAAAACCACCACCTCCCCATCTTTGGTAGGCAGTGGCTTTAAAAGAACCATTGGTAGTCAGTGGCACTTTAACTCCCCCCTCGCCCCCCCAGCCTAAAATTTTCTGCTGCCAATCCATTCCTACAATCCTTCTTCCTTCCCTTTCTTCATTGTAAATGGGCTGAATGTTAGTAAACACATGCAGTGTGATTGGTTAAAGTACAGAAGCACTTTTATTGGTTCTGTTCATTGTGTCTGTGATATATGCTTATGTCACTGTGATCATAGACATTGTGCCATGCACAGGTTGTAAACACAGCACATATTAGAAATGGTGCCCCAGAGAAAAGGGTTCATCAACCCTCCAGAAGGTAATAAAGTGGTGGTCAGCAGCCTCAGGGGCCACTCACAGGCAGGAGATTGTCATCTAATCCAGTCAATAAAAGCTGAATTGGGCTAATGCCATCTTAGTTTATAGACACCCTATGCCTAGCTTTAATAGCAGAAAAGCACAATATTTTAATTTAACGTTTTTGTGCTGCTTAGTCCTAGAATAATATGAAAGTGACAATTACATAGTTACATAGTTTGTCTGGCTGAAAAAAGACAATACTCCATCCAGTTCAACCATTAAAAAAGCAAAAAAAAAAGTTATAATCCTACACCCACAGTTGATCCAGAGGAAGGCAAAAAAACAAGCAAAGCATAATTCAATTTGCTCCTGCAGCGGAAAAAATTCCTTCCTGATCCCCCGAGAGGCAATCGGATATTCCCTGGATCAACTTTACCTATAAATGTTAGTAACCAGTTATATTCTGTGTATCCAAGAAAGAATCCAGGCCTTTTTTAAAGCAATCCACTGAGCTGGCCAGAACCAACTCTTGAGGGAGTTTATTCCACATTTTCACAGCTCTCACTGTGAAGAAACCTTTCCGTGTTCAGAGATTGAATTTCTTTTCCTCCAAAGGTAAAGAGAGCCCCCTTGTCCTCTGTGATGACCTCAAGGTGAATAACTCTACACTGAGTTCACTATATGAACCACTGATGTATTTATACAAGTTGCTCATACCACCCCCCCTTAATCTCCTCTTCTCAAGAGAGAATACATTTAGTTCCTCTAATCTTTCCTCATAGCTGAGCTCCTCCATGCCTCTTATCAGTTTGGTTGCCCTTCTCTGTACTTTCTCCAGTTCTCCAATGTTCTTTTTGTGAATTGGTGCCCAAAACCGAACTGCATATTCCAGATGAGGTGTTACTAATGATTTGTACAGGGGTAATATGATATCTCTCTCGCTCTGGAGTCTATACCTCTTTTAATACAAGAGAGGATTTTGCGCGCTTTACAAACCGCAGCTTGGGATTGCATGCCATTATTAAGCTTGTGATCTACCAGAACTCCCAGATCCTTCTCCACCATTGATTCCCCCAGTTGTACCCCCCCTAGTATGTATGATGCATGCATATTCTTAGCCCCCAAGTGCATAACCTTACATTCATCAACATTAAACCTCATTTGCCACATAGTTGCCCAATTAAACAGTGCATTGAGGTCGGCTTTTAAGTTGGAGACATCCTGTAAGGACATTATTCCATTGCACAGCTTGGTGTCATCTGCAAAGACTGAAAAGGTATTTTTAATCCCAGACCCTATATTGTTTATAAATATATTAAATCGTAAGGGTCCCAACACTGAACCTTGGGGTGCACCACTGACAACCCTAGACTATTCAAAGTGTGAATCATTAACCACTACTCTCTGAATACGATCTTTTGGCCAGTTTTTTATCCTTTTGCATACAGATTTTTCCAAGCCTGTATACTTTACCTTACACATTAGCTGTGTGTGGAGAATTGTGTCAAACGCTTTTGCAAAATCCAAGTATATCACGTCCACCGCCACCCCTCTGTCCAAAGTTTTGCTCACCTCCTCATAAAAAGAAATCAGATTTGTTTGACAACTTCTGTCTTTCATGAATCCATGCTGTCTGTTGCTTAAAATAATTTTCTTTCCAGCAAGAACTCATCTATGTGGTCTTTTATTAAACTCTCCAGTATCTTCCCAACTATAGAAGTTAAACTGACAGGTCTAAAATTACTTGGTAAAGATGTTGATACCTTTTTAAATATAGGCACCACATTGGCCTTACACCAATCCAGTGGTACTATGCCAGTCATTAAAGAGTCCTTAAAAATTAGAAACAATGGCTTTGAAATGACAGAGCTCAATTCTTTAAGGACTCGTGGGTGTATGCCATGCATTCAAGGTGCTTTATTCACCTTTATTTTGTCTAAATGTTTCTGGACCATATCAGTTGTGAGCCAATGTGGATCATCTGGAGCTGTGTCAATACCATGCCCATTATGGACAAGAGCTCCCCCATGCTCCTTTGTATATACATAGCTGAAGAAGGTATTTAAAAAATTTGCCTTCTCTTTGTCCCCAGTCACCCACTCTAGATTATTTTGTAAAGGGCCTACATGCTTGGACTGGACCTTTTTACTATTAATATATTTGAAGAATTTTTGGGGGGGTTTGACCTTTTTGCAATATGTCATTCTTTTTGAGGCCTTTATTTCCTTTTTGCACATTCTGTTATATTCTTTGTAATGTTTTAAGGATGATAGCATTCCTTCATTTTTATATTTAATAAAAGATCTTTTATTATTATCTATAGCTTTTTTAACTTTGGCAGTAAGCCACATAGGTTTGATTTTTAGCCTTTTAAACTTGTTGCCCATGGGAATATATTTTGCAGTGTGTTCACATACAGTCTTTTTTAAAGAACTCCCATTTCTGTGTTGTGTTCATTGATGCCAATATTCCCTCCCAGTCTATGACTTGGAGAACAGCTCTCAGCCTTGGAAAATTAGCTCTTTTAAAATTGAGCGTTTTTATTTTTCTCGTATGTGCTTGGTGTTTACAGTTAACAATAAATGAAATCATGTTATGGTCACTGCTACCCATATGTTCTTTTATATGGCCATTCATAATAAGCTCTGCATGGTTTGAGATTACCAGGTCTAGCAGAACATCATTCCTAGTTGGGGCCTCTGTGAACTGTACCATAAAATTCTCCTGTAGTAGGTTTATACATTTTTTCCCTTTAACTGTTCCTGCAGTACCATTACTCCAGTCAATTTCTGGGTAGTTAAAATCCCCCATTATTATCACTGTCCCAACCCTTGAAGCCCTTTCAATCTGTGCAAGGAGCTTAGTCTCCATCTCCTCATGAACACTGGGGAGGCCTATAACAAACTCCACTGATTACATTTGTAGTACACACCCCCATATGCAGTTCCACCCATAATGCTTCAGCCTCAGCCACTCTCCATCAACTAGGTCCTCTTTCACACTCGCTCTGAGATCACTTCTCACATAGAGACAGACACCACCACCTTTGCTTTTTACCCTTTCTCTTCGAAAGAGAACATAGCCAGGAATATTAATGACCCAGTCATGTGAAGAATGAAGCCAAGATTCAGCAATACCAATTAAATCATAGTTATGTTCATGCACCAAAGCTTCCAACTCACCTATTTTGTATGGCAGACTTCTGGCATTGGTGAACAAACACTTTAAT